CTTTGATTTGTTGAATCTTGGTTTCGCGGGCTAAAGCGATCTGGGGTGGATTGGTATATTTTTTGCTCGTTAAAAAACGGGTTGGGCTGGGCTGGGCTAAAATTTTTTCGGATCGGAACGAGCCGGGCCGGGATCGGCCGAACCGGGCCATTTTACACCCCTAGCAGAAACTGAAAGCCGTTGACTAATATTTAATCTATTAAAATAGAAATGTCTAATAAGGTATGCTGTATCCGGATACCTACCAACCCCCGAAAGATAGATATCTTTGAATAATATACGTTTTTAAACAAATTTTTTTTCTGGGCATTACAGGACTTAATATTAGAAAGAAAAAAAAATACAATAAAAATCATCAATTTATATTTAAAAAATGATCAATTAATTCCTCTGTGTTTTTTTTTTTACAAATTAATATCAAAACTAGGACAGATTGGGACAAAAAAAAAAACAGAACTTAAATGTTTGTCAAATAGTTTGATTCAAAAAGTAGATACCGGTCAACTTCGGTTAGTTTAATCCGAAGTTTAGATGTTATCGGTTCACGGTCTTGGGACATATTAAAAAAAAATAACAACTTTTTTCGAAATAAATGAAAATTCAAAACAAATATATACATGCAATGCAAACATATACAAACATACATATATATGCACATTCGTATTTATACGTGTATGTATTTATACATAAGTGAATATATATATATATATATATATATATATATATATATATATATATATATATATAAATGGACTTTTATAAGTGGACAAGATTACGTGTCTAACTACTTCCTAGCAAAGCACGAAAGACTAAATATTCTTGAATAAAATAAAATTTCAACCACAAAATAATATAAAACCGTAACGCCACACAAATTCAGATTTTACTCAGTCTACCTAGATTTTTTTTTCTCTGGACAAGACAGGACTTAATATTAAAATAAATATATTAATTAAGTATTTTTTTAATACCTGGTAATATGGTTCTTTTCACATTTGATAACGCACACTAAGATAGTTTATTTTACAGTAGTAAATCCGAATATTTTCAAAAATTACCATCAGTTTACTCATTTGGCAGATAAAATAATTTTTTTTTGTTAAGGGTAAAACCCAAAATAGGGGTCAAATGCGGGTGGAAGAGCAAATATATACAAACATACATATATATACATATACGTGTATGTATTTATACATAAGTGAATATATTTATAAATACTTTTATCGATATTTTCAATTTTTTATAAGGAAAGAAAAAAAATGTGAACATATACATAAAGAGTAGAGTAGCCTCGTTGACCCTATATTAAGTTTTATTATATTAACCAATAAATATGAATTTACAATTTGATATATTAAAAAATTTAATACTAAACCTAAAATTTAAAATTCTCAAATAAATTTAACAATTGAAAAAAAAAAGATCAAACTAATAATATCTATTTATATATAAGGCCAAATAAATAATTTGAGACGGTTCTGGACCTGATTGCAACGAGAAAGAAAGGGGGTTGAGATCTAGCCAAGAGGCGAGGCGGCGGCGGGGGCGGCGGGAAATATCAACCGTTCCATGTCTTTACCTTTAAATTACAGCCTCATGAAGTTTAAAACCCCTTTTCTCTATTGGTTAAACCGATACAGGTCGCAGGCTGGTTATATCTCCTAAGATTGATCTTGTCGCACTCCTTGGCGACATACATTGTTTTTCGCCCGTAAGTATGCACACGGACATCACATATTTCATGGTGTATTGATTGATTTTGCATTCGGCAACCCCCAATGAATTAAACAATTGGTGGCAGCGTTATCAATGGCATTCACAGTGTTCTTCATTTACGAGCAATACGAGCTTGAAGTCCATCAAGTAGGGTGGATTCTATTCAAATGCGTGAAGGGACTGAGAAGAGGCAACACTCTGTGGCCTCTTCCCCTCCTCCTGCATTCCATAATCTTCGCCAGCTCGTCGAGACACCACGTTGAGGATGCGTAGTTTTCTGACAAAACCACCACAAGGATCTTGGACCCCTCGATCGCATGGGACAGCCCTCGTGAAATCTCCTCGCCCTTCTCCAGCTCGTGGTCCATGAAAGTTCTGAGCTTTCCCCTACGCAGGGCGTAGAAAAGGTGGCTGGTGGAACCGTTGCGAGTGTCGGGTCCTTGGAAACTGATGAACACATCGTACCTAAACCCAGAATCAGAGCAATAGAGGGGCAGGAAGCAGAAGCAGCAGAGGCAGGGGTTCGATCCAAAACAGTAATATGATCCCAACAGCAGCGTAAGAAGAAGGCAAGAACGAAGAGGATAAAGGAGAAGAAGAATAAGAAATCATCAATGGCCGTCAAGAAGAATTCTTCGACATGACCCATGTTCTTGGGAGTTCTGCATTACGCAACCAGTGAATGATCGAGGCTAAATAACTTCTACCACGAAACCACCTTCGCCGATAAGCACCAAACCAAAAAAAAAAAAAAAAAGGAAGAAGAAAGGCTGTGTTTCAAACCCCTAGGGTCCGCTTACGAAATAAGGCGAAGGAGCAAAGAGAACAGGACATACATACATGCACACACACACATACATATATACATATACACACACATACGTACACACATACATACATACATATACACATACATACATACGTACATACGTACATACATATACACATACATGCATAATTATTTATGCGAGCCTTCCATATTCACACCCACACGTGACACTCCTTATTTAAACAAATGTAACGGATAGTGTTACAGATCTAATCCTGGTTCATATACATATATATACATATATACACTTTTCGCTGTATGTTTTAATTTTATTTGTTATTTCAAAACTTCATTTCGTTTGGTTGACGTCCTCCCTCTGATCTCTACGTATCATGAGATAGCATAATGTTGTTCCATATAAATTCCCGTTGATTTTTCCAGATTCAACAAAATTGCCGTAGAGCTAGCTGACTTTTGCCTAGAGATTTACATTAGATATCGTAATGAATAAATGAATAAACCACACACGAAAACCTGTCTGGAGTCGTTTGTTTTATATATTTTTCTCTTTTGATCTCTTTGCTGAAAACTTGTTGACTTTTGACGTTGCTCGGTGGGCTCACCGCTTTTCCCGTCTCGAACCCTTTTTAGGGTTTTTTCTTTTGGGTAAGGGGTGATTTATGTGCGCAATCTTTAACCAAATCAAAATCAAAACCTAAAGTGCGCAATAATTATGGTCTTTTGTCTTGCTTTAAGAGTTGATTACAGTGCAGATAACTTGTATAATAAAAATCATTTAACGATGATAAGCAAAGTTTGAAACGTCTCGAATATACTAACGATAGTAATACTATCCTGTTCAACCTTTAACTGTTTATCTCTGACTATTTTCTACAATGATTAATACAGTGAAATATATTTTTAATTAAAAAGAAAGGGATATGTCGGGTTGCTGATCAGAAAAGATTCTATTGAGTGCCCAATCATATCCATTCTTTTGGTAAGAGGAGTGTGGCATATTTTTTCCTCACTTATTTGATTTCAATTGGTCATAAAACCCCACCTCTCGTTACTTTAATTATTACTTTAATTATATGTATGTATTTTAAAATGCTGTTTACTGAAAAAGATTTACATTAATTAGATATTACAGTAAATACATGAATATATATAAATAGAACATAATAAAAAAACCATTCATTTAACGATGATAAATAAAGATTGAAACTCTTGGATATACTATAATGATAATAATAATAGCAATAATGTGCCAAAAAAACAATAATGTTTAAAAAGGGTTCATGAATCATTCGCCCTTGTCTTTTCCCAGAGAATCGAAACAGAATCCCAGATAACTAAATCCTCGCGTCGGTCTCTCTAGTTCCACTTGTCGTCGGGTTTTGGTACTCGTTCTGTGCCACGCCATCTTCTCTCCGTATTTATTTTCCTTCTTTTTTTACATTAGGTACTGATAATAAATAAATGAATATATAGAATACATTGCGGTAATTGATCAAAGTTATATACGGTATTGAATGTGCACTTATATATATATATACATATATAACAAAGATTATTGCAAGTATATACCCATTAAAAGAATTCTTTTTGTATAGTAATAATGTTATATTCTCTACTTTGTTCATTACAATCTGGAGCTGAGATTTC